CTGTTTGTGGCACTTTTCTACACATCCTGTGAACACAGTGTTGCGTCCCATAAACAGGTAAGTCACTGGCAGCTGGTGGCAAGGATCAGTTCAGCCCTGACTTCTCGCAGCTTCGGGTATGACAGCTGAGCAGGGATCGGATGAGGGCAATAATTTCCTTTTCCTTTGTCATTCTTAGAGTCAATGATGGGGAGCTTTTCTCTGCAATGATGCTGCACAGAGATGATGGGTTAGATTACAGTGATTAATGGATGATTTAATCACGCTTTGTGCCTGCTGGATGCAGGCAAGGGGAATCTCCACTCCCACTTGAAATGCTCACACAAATGGAGAATGGGAAAAGCGAGGTGCAAATTCACAAAGCTCCATTCAGCTGATATTGCTAAGCAGTATTGTTTATCACTCCTGTTTCCATAATGTCTCCTGGTGAGAGTTTGATGTTAATTCTGGTTAAAGGAGAATCAGATGTTTCAGGACTGGGAATTTGGTTTGAGCTCCAGTTTATTCAGGTATGATTTTCAGCTTGCAAAAGCCTTTGAGTTTCCTTGCATGAATTTCCTCACCAGGGGCCTCAGGAGCTGCATTTAAGCTCAAGCCCGTGGTTGTCACCTGCATTATGTTGCAGCAGTGCTGGGCATGGCCACACTCTTTTCTACTCTATCACCTTTTCACTCTCTGACACTGTTGCTGCAAGGCAAACCCCATTTTTTGTTGCAAAGTAGTTGATTCAGGTTACTTAGTTCAAGTTCTTCCAGCCCCAAGAACCTTTTACTCTCCCGTTAACTCACCCTCTGCTGCCATCATGGGGCTACCTCGTCATTGCAACCTCTTCTATGTGCCTCTCATTTATACCCGTTTAGATTCTCATAGCAAACTGAGTTTCGCCCAGAGCTTGTGGGCATTTCAGACGCATTGCGGTTAATTGCAAAGAAAAGGAAATCACACTGGTAATTTTTAGCTCCCTATATGCTGTTTAGCAGTTTTTTATATAAACTTTTTTTCCTCCTTTCCTTGTTCCTATGTGGTCTTTCTCAGTTGTAGATGTTTGGCAACACCGCAAGCCCAAGCCGAAGCCAGTCACCACCGATGCAGACATAAAATACGAATGCATAAAATATGAAGATTTAAATGCAAAGAACAAAAATACAAGAATTGCAGATGTCACTAATGTCACTGGGGGCTCTCAAAGCAGGGCTGGGTGCCCAGAAGAACTTTCAGCTGCCATGGGAGAAGGACGTGACTCACAACGCATCCACACTTCGTTGTATAGAGAGGAAATGCATTGAATGAGGCCGTAACACTACAGCAAGTTGTATCAGAGTGATGGTGGGAGGGCTGCAGGAGGCATGCCAGCACAAACGCAGCTAAAGAAAGCAGTCATTACAGAAAGGAGAGGAAAATGGCTGGAAAATCCCTGGATATGTGCAGGACTGACCTGCGCTCTCTCAAAGGAGGAAATGGGCTCCCCTGTCCAAGCGGTGGCCATGGCACCTCTTGGTCCTCCGGTCCTGGAATGGGAACTGGAATGTCCCTGCTGTTTCTTCCCCTCCCTTTGCAGGGGTCTGCCTGCAGCCAGCAGTCACATCCAGTAGTGCTGAGGCTTGCTGCTCATAAGTGTGTTTGTTATCCTTCCAAGGGAAAGATGACAGGGAAAATCAGGACAGTCCCAGCCCTCTAGTCATGGGGATGCCCTCTGCTTTTCCAAAGAAAAAAAGATACGTAGACAAGAAAAAGTGTAATATAGCTCCTATTTCTCCAGTTGGAAGATAAGAAGATTTATTTATAACGATTAATCCTTCCAAGCTACTTCATACAACATAAAGAAGGAGAGAAAGGACATAATCCTATTTTCTCCCTCCATTTCCGTGCCACCTTTAGTATCAGTATTTGAGAGCAACCAGCTCCAAACCCCCGCAAAGGCAGGGAATATATTCAGGATGTGTTCTATGCATGTATAAGTCTGCTTCTTTCTTTGAAGCTCTGATATAGTCTGTTCTCAGTGGACCCTTCCCAGACATGGCCATGAAACCACAACTTGAAAGGCATTGTCTCCTCATGCAAAAGTCAGCCCTCATCCTACTGATCAGATAATGTTTGCCCTAAAAAAGTGACATGTTGTTTAGCCAAATCGCAGGCACACACATACACTCACCAACAGTTCCTGGCAATTGCAAACAAAACCCAGGCCAGGATTAAAAAAGAAGAACAGAAGATTAAGCTCCTATCAAGAGGTAATTAAAGCTAGGAGGAGAGATAATGATGACAATCATAATGAATCAATCTGTACAGGGATGTTTGCCCAACAAATTACTGTCATTATAGACAGAAGCGGGAATTATTACCCATCAGCAGAAATACAGTCCATCAAACTGGTGTGAATGACCTGATCAGGTTTAGAGTAATTAAAGGACATCCAAGCCTAGATGCCTTATTTGCTGTTAATCATGATTACTCATATTCGTATCTTTACCCAAATAATTGCTTTCTGATAAAGGCTGCAGATTTATAGGGGGCCATAGAGAGGAGCGGGCCAGTGGTGCATCGTAGCCAGCTGAGAGCCAGGAGTGATCACGGTTTGGTGAGTACCGTTGTGCTGACATGATGAGGCTGCCTCCTCCCCTCTTTCAGTTTTTGGGTGGTAGATTTCAGGCTTCTGTGATGCTTTGCTGAGCCATTGCCATGAAGCCATCCATCTCCTGAACAGCAATGCTGGTAATATGTGGGGTTTTCCTCCTCTGGAGCAACCAGAGGAAAGAATGGAGCCCAAACAGCCGCTGGACCAGACGGCTTCCAGAATTACATGGTCTTTAGTTTTAGGTAGAGCACAGTAGATGGGCAGGAGCAAGAAGGTGAGCAAACTGGCTGTGTATCAGCCTTTTTGGAAGCTCTCCTAGCGGTAATGCTCCTGCAGGGTGATGTGCGCCTTGATTCAGCAAAGTCTTTGGGTGCAATCTGACATTTTAGCAGAAGGATTTGTCTGCTGGAGAGATCTGAGACGTGCCCAGGTCCTAGGCTGGCTTGGTGCACGCTTCTTTCAGCTAAAGGTCCCTGCTAGCTACCTAAGGAGTTTGCAGTTATTGAAAGCCAGCATAACTGGGGAGGGCAAGAAAAAGCTCAGAAGTATCTTAAGAAGGTTAAACAGCTCTACTGTGATGACACTGAAGATCTACCTCCTTCCTGGGGTCTGACTGATTAAAAAAACCAATGCAGTACATCATCATTGATACACAGGAGAGCTTCCCCACCAGCCATTACTGTTTGTAGCAACTTCAGCAAGCAAATAAGATCTGCACAGGGAAGACAAAATTATGTACAGATAAGGAGAAACCAAATTGATTCACTTGATTAGGAGCTAGAAAGGTTATGAAGAGAGGGGAAACTCTGGAGCTAGGGATGGGGTTTAAAATGGGCTGTTAAATGTGGTGCTCCAAGACAAACGACAGCCCAGGTTTGGCACAAGGAAGGCCAAAATGCTATGGTGACATCCTGGCTGGGGGTCAAGGCATTGCATGGCAGGTATTGTACAGTCTGAAGGAGAGGCTCAGGATCCAGGTTTCCCTTCCCTGAAGGGTGGTGTGCTCTGGTTTTGGTGGCTGTTTTCAGCTCTTTCACGTCCCCCAGTTAGGAAGCAGTACTGTGGAGTCTGTTTTGTTTGGACTCCAATAAGAAACTGATCTTTGAAATGTCCTTCTTGTTTTACTTATTCCATTCCCCTCGAAGCCCAAATCAGGCAGGAAAACACAGCACTAAAGCACCAGAAGTGTGCGTGAGATGAAGCCTATGGCTCCTTAATCATGCAACACCTCTCACCTGTCTGCGCTGCACCCCCCATTAAATATTTGTGCTGTGGCTTACAGCAAATAAATTTCTGTATAAATCCCCCACTCTTCTTCCTCCTCTTGCCTCTTCTCATCTTGCACCATCTCTAGAGTAGCAAACAGTCCCAGAAGGGCGGCTAGAAAGTGTTCAGGAAACTCTGACACCCCTTTAATGCTCTTTGTACTGCCTAGTTTCAGACTAAAATAAAACCAAAGTGGGAGGACTTTGATTTTGGGTTAGCAAGTACTATCTGAGAGTTTCCAGGACAGCAACTAAGAAAGCAAGGTTTGCTTCTTTGCAGGAGGAAGGCAGATATATTATAAATTACAGATATGGCTTCTGTGTAATCCTCAGGGAGATGTGAGCACCCTCTTATAAAGGTACATACACATCTCTGCAGGCATAGGGCTGCAAAAAGAGCCTGGAGATAAAAGGGAAAAATGTGCAATGGCTTGTGATAAACAAAATGTGCTTTTCTTTTCTTTTTATTTCAATAACAAAACAAAATACAAGGTTCTGCTGCTACTGAAAATGTGTGTGATTTCTGTTTTCTTTCTTGGAAGATTGGAAGATAGGCAGATAACGGCACACACAAGAGCCCTTCCCTTGCCCTGTGTGTAGATGAACTTTTATTTGGTACATGCCTTTTTTTTGGTCTGAAAAAAACCCAAACAGGTTTCTCCTGGTCATCCTCTAGGTATACTACTAACTGGCCATATGGGATGTTTTCATAGGTGCTTTAAATCCTCTCTCTGAAAGCTCAGCTCTCAGAGACTTACAGTAGAATGGGGTTTATTCCATGGTGTTGTGCCACTGATGGATTAACTCACGTGATACCTCCCTTTGTATTTAAGGCATATTATACTGACTCACAGCAAAACTCCAGCACAAATGTTTCACACAGCCAACCCCAGAGCCGTACTCTGGGACTGCATGGTGGTGGTGATGGTATAACAACTACAAACAACTTCCAACTAACTGGCAACATGACAGATTTGAATTGTTCATCTTTTGTATTTTAAAGAAATACTATTTTTGCTGGCAGGAATTCCTGCCTAATTTAGTTATAGTGGTGGTATTTATGTAGCTATGTCTTCTGTGTGGCATGTGAACTGTACCAGACAAAGACCAAGGTCGTTTGTTCTACTGCTCATAAAACCTTGTGCTTTAATTCAGGAGAAAAGATGGTTTCCAGGATGACTGGTCTGTGGCAACTAATTCTTCCCATGATTGTTCTATCACACTTCTCAGCATCTCTTCCATCCCGGGAGAGGTAAGCATTTTTTGTGCCTCTGCTTCCTTTTTCTCTGTGGCTTTTTGTTCAAAGAGCCTGCTAGCTATAAAGTCAGCCTTTTATCCTTCAGAACTTGCATCTGCTTGGCTGTTGGATTTTTTTTTCTGCCCTAAATTGATTTAGTTAAATGACTGCAAATGTTGTAAACATTTTTCTTGCTTAAGAATGGAAACATTGATTTGACTTAATTCAGGAGAAAAATCAGGACCCCAAACAGATCAAATTACAATAAAAAAAGAAACTCTTGAGGCTGTTTTCCTGCTAGGTACTTATACAGATAGAGGTAAAAGTTTCTGTTTCAAATAGCCTGGTCCCATGAAAACATAACTAAAAATAGTCAGTCTTGTAAGTTTAGCAGTTCACAGTCTTGCACGTAAGACTTTGGCAGGGTTGTCTCTCCTTTAATTGTGCAGGGGCAGTTAAAGCACAAAGAGACTAAAGGACTTTAAGGCTGGAAGAGGACAGAGCTGAGACTCCCGTGCAGCCCTTCCATGGCCACAACCAGTGCCTGGCCCGGCTTCCCTGGCACTGCACTAGCAGAGACACACATGCAGGCGTACACACAGAGCATCTCTCCAGAAGCTGGACCCCGGACCTTTTATCCTACCCACTGGCTAGTCCGGTTTGAAGTTTAATAGCTCTGGTTGAACCTCACTGAGGCTTTGAGCACTTCTTTTAATGGCTTGTCAGTCACCTGTGAGTGCTGGTCTTTGGTACCACCACCGTTATCTACCTGGTCCTCCAGGTTTGTGTATCTGGGTGTTTATTACTTCTCCAGTTTCTTGTCCTACTACTCTGTGCTGAATCAGTGATAAGCTCACATTCCCATATCCTTATGGTAAGGTGATTATATTAGTAAGAAGAAAGTGCAGGTAGTTTTTCTGTGTGATGGTTAACAAAGATATTTCTTTTAAACTTCTATAAGATTTGCCCTTTTTTGTGAAACTTTGCCAAATTGGCACAAATTCTTGCTCATATTTCTTTGAGATCCTCTTTCCTTGAGGGAGCAGTTTTAAATGCCCATTTTTCTCTGGTCTTAAAACCATGCCTTTTCACCTCTTTTTTCTCTTCTAACCTCCCAGGACTGAGAGACATGCTGATGGGCTCTTCCACAGTGAGCTCAGCAAGATGAATGGCAATGCCTACGTGCGGCAGCTAGTCAAACACCTGGTGGGCCTCAAGGAGAGGTAAGCATCAGCAAAAGCCACCTTCCTGGGGCATGGAAGTCTCCAGCAGGAGATGGGTCCCCAGCAACAAGGGGGATGCCTATGGGGCTGAGCTGCGTCCAGCACCAGAGCCAGCCTAAGCATTGGTCTCATTCAGAAGATGCCCAAGATGAAAGGAGACAGAAGAGGAGAAGGGGAGGGATACAGGGCTCCTTGATGGTGGGAAGAGAGAAATTTCTGTGCCTTGTGATAAGTTCCACATCACATGGCTGCGAGGAGCAGCCGTTGTACTGTATTTTCCCTGACACAGGTCCCAGAGGCACTCAGATGGACTGTTTACCAGTGAATACAGCAAGATGAGAGGAAACGCTCAGGTTCAGAAATTCATTCAAAATCTCATGGGCCGCAAGCGCAGGTAAAAGCTCTGCTTCCTGGGACATGGAAAGGCAGCTTGGGCCATGCAGGCTGCAGAGAGGCAGGTCTCAGCACCAAGGAAAGACGGGTGGCATGACCAGTGGTTTGGAAAACTGGAGACAAGGGCAAGCAGGCTGGGGCTTGGTCTCCTCCCACTAGGCTGTGCTTGGAGCTGCTCTGCAATAGCAGAGAAATCCCATCAGCCTGCCCTGCCTGTCACAGCAGGCAGAGCAGGACACAAACCTTCTCACTCAGGCCATTTCTAAGCACAGAAAACAACCCTGTCTATTGCATATGCTTATCAAGCTTAATCCATAGGACACAAATCTTTACATCAGATCACAGTCTGGGATTTTTTGTTTGCATTTTGATTTAGCCTTTTGGGGAAAATTGTAGGTGATCTACCCACGTCAAATAAAGCACCAGAGAAAATGTTTGTAGATAAATGGGCTCTGTAGCAGAATGAGGAAGGCTTGTGGATTTCATAGTCCCCACCCATGGCTCTGACTGCCAAACTGGGCAGGCTTTAGACATAATCACATATATGGCCAATATGAGGTCCTTCATCCAGCCAAAATACAGGGCCACTAGTTCTCACTGAAGCCACGTATATGAGCACATCATCAGTTATAATATGTGGCACACTGTGATACAACTCACAACTGCTGCTGCCCTTGCTGCTGGTATGTTATGAAGGGACAACATTGCCTGGAGAAATTTCCTTCAAGCTGGGTACTTTCTTCAAGGCAGAGACATAGCACATTGATTCCTTCCTATCTGTTCTGGGTGCTTTGATATTTTCTGGGCCATGCACCACTAACAAAATCCTGGCAGATGCAGTAGATTTTTAATTTCCAAATGCTGGAAAAAGGTATATATCCATGGGTGGAAGACGTGCCGGTACTGCGTAAAGCAGCAGAGTGTAAGTGCATATTAAAACCTGTCCATTTGCCAGCTAGAAAGCACCTAAGCCTGATTTGAAGAGGATACTTCTTTTTCTTCCTGCACATCTACAGTGACAGTCAGCAGGTTAACAGAGCATGGACCATGGGGTGGGTTGGTGGGAGGGTAAACCTGCCTTACAGACAGCAGTGCTGCTTTACAGCTCTGGTGGTTGCGCTATTTGGTTGGTTGTTTTTTTAAAATTATTATTATTATTTATCTAAACCAGTTCTCCAGGCCCAGTCAACACAGATTTGCAGGGGAGAGAGGAAGAAAACAGCCATGAGGAACTTTGCTTTATGTGGTTGTACCAGAGCTTTCTAAACGCCAGGTAGGTAGGACAGATTTGTCACCTCTATGGCCCTGATCACCACAGTACTGAAGCTGAAAGAGCACTTCTGGTAACTTGTAAATGCCCAGTTCTTGCCCCAACCACAAAAGTCTGATGTAATGCAGCAGATCAGAAGGGCCCAGCTGATATCCTCAAAAAAGGAAGGCTGGAAGATTTATTAAATGGTCCATATTAAAATCACTTCTGCCTCATTCCCCACCAGCTTGTGAGGCACTGTCTCGGGGACTGTCATTGCTGAATTGCAGCCCTCCATCACACACTTTTGTACCTCCTGTCACTCTGCCAGCAACCACGCTCCCAGGGCTGGTTTGCAGAGCTAGGAAAGCAAATGCTTTAGTCTAACTGCAAGGTGGCATGTGGCTGTGTGCAATCCCAATTGTTTTCCATGCCTACATTCATGGTAATCTCTATTTCTACGTGCCAAGACCACCTGGCAGTCAGTTTTGCCTTACCTAAAGCAAAGCTGGCATTAAGATTTACAACTAATAAGTGCCATATAAAAGCCAGTCATTTTTCTAATCATAGAGTTATCACCCTGGGCTGAAACAATTGTTCACCCCATTAAGAAACCTGATCTAATGGTTAAAATAGAAAGCCTTTGCTACCCTGGCTTGATTCAATTATTGATTCAAACGCACACCTCAGGATGGGCTGTCCCAGCATCTGCACATTGTCTCTTGCTAGTGAGCAACCACTTTTAATTAGACATCTCACTGTTAAATCACTAAAATTAGGAGCAATATGCTGGCCCTTAGTACCTCTTGTCCACGTTGCCTAGAACAAATGGGGATGATAACACAAACAGGCTTGCCTGTGCATTTGTGGGGTGCCTGGTTGCAGGCAGCCATGATTTGGGTCCCTCTGTCATACATCTGCTCCTTGGAGTAATCTTTGAATTTTACAAGGTGGTCTTGTCACACTTCCTGCAGTCCGTGCCCCCAGGAAAAACAAACTATCACTCATTTTTTCCCTTCCAACAGCCGCTCGGACAGCGATGCCAGGGAAGCTGCTGCAGTTACCAGCCAATACGTTTGCCCCATCTCTAAGCAGCTGGTTGCAGACATGAAGGAATATACAGACAATTTCGACTGAAGGTGAAGGAAAAGAAATGACCAAGGAGAGGGCTTTGCATGTATATAGCCTTGAAAATAAACAAGGAAGCTATTGCATTTGCTTAGGAAAAACTCTTGAGATCAGCAAGTAAAAAAAAAAAAAAAATTCTGGAAAGCAGCCAAAACCCAATAAAACCTCTTAGATTATCAAGAGTGAAGTACATGTCAGTGTGAACTGGTGTCAGTAGATGGAGCCTGAATGAAGCACATCACTTCCACTTTGTGTTAACATCTGGCTGCCTGCTTCTGAAGTCAAATAAAGATTTATTAGCTATGCCTGTGCTTTGTCTGTTTTTGAGGAAACAGTAATAAGGGTGGTACCATTACTAGGTTTTGGACCATTAAGACTGCAGGGTGAGGGGGAGAAGTATTTTGCGAGGCTTGCCCCACCTGTGGGGAGGTTCACCAGGCTTCGCCCACATGAGGCCTGTTGGGATTAGCTGGAGTCCATGGCCACATCTTCTGTGGCTGAGACTCAGGACTGCTCACAATCCAACTGTACAAAGAGGCCAGTATCAGGGCCTCCGTTTAGGAGAAACTTAGCCAAGTGCTAGATTTTATTGCAAAGAAATGTACTGAGAGCTATGCAACATAAATACACACTGTAAATATTGTTTCTGCTCCATTCTGCCTCTGTATTTACTGGCCTAGCTTTCTCACTGCCACTAAAGACAAAGCTCCACTAGGAGGAATTTGTTCCCACCATTTAACGAGGTTTACATGTTATCCCTGCACCACACTACCTGGCAGATTCCCTCCTCTGATAGAACAGCAGCTCCACCTTTCCTGTAAAACCAAGAGATTTTGAAAAGGAGCTCTAAAATAAGGCATGCTTAGCTGCAATCATGTGTGCCTACTGCAAAACTGCTTAGTCCATCCTGTGCCATCAGTTTTCACCATTTATGACGTACCTGACACCTGCAAAGAAGCTAGTCCCTCTCAAATGTTCATCTAAGCACCCATTCCCTTACAGTGATGCTGAAATACTGCTCTTGCAGACCTTGGCATTTGTTTATTTTGGTCCACAGGAAAGTGACCTCTTGGGAGGACTTTTGGAAGGAGTGTTGAGGGTCTGTATTTTGTTAAGCCACTAATGGCCACCTGGCTAAAATGCAGCATCTGAGAGCCTTCTGAAATCAATTGGGATTTTAAAAGGAGAAGTCAGAGCAGCTGCCCCATTTCTCCTCCTACACAATGGGCAAGTTGAAAACAATGGTGTTTTCACAAGGCACAAGTGGCCAAACGCCTTGCTACATGATTTTAGCTTGGAAAAATTTACACAGCCTCAAAAAAAGATAGGACTAGACAGCAGAATAGCATGCTATTGAGGCTTCAGGAAGCCACTGAGATGTAAATAATTGGAGCCTGGATGGAGATTCTGGGGAACATCCCTGCAAAGAACCACTGCTGGCAACTGGTAGGAGGGGCCATGCATTGTCCCTACAAAGTTGCTGGGTAATCACTGGGCTGCAGCTGAGCCTGGTTGCTGTCTCTGGATCCACCCTGCTCACCTTGCGAGGGTACTGTAGGGTGGCTGGGAATAACAAGATTGTCACAGAAATGCAACTGGTTATCTCAACCCAAGGACTTACACAGAGCCAAGATCGTTCCTTTACCACCCAAACAAAAGAGCAGCAAAGATGGCTTTGTCTTCAATGAAACCTTTGCCTTTTCCAGAAATAAAGAAAAGACATTTGAAAGCTGGCTTTTTAATGTATTTTTTAAAAAAAATGTTTTTCAGGAATAACACAACAGACTGCACATAGAGGACAGAAACCGTAAGTCATGGACTGGAGAACAAAACCTGTTATAAAAGGGAATGCAAGTGTCATGGTTTCAGTTGGGACAGAGTTAATTTTCTTACTAGCAGCTGGTATAGTGCTATGTTTTGGATTTGGAATGAAAGCAACATCAATAGCGCACTGATGTTTTTGGTTGTTGCCAAGCCGTCAAGGCCTTTTCTGCTCCTCACGCTGCCCCACCAGCGAGTAGGCTGGGGGTGCAAAAGAAGCTGGGGGGGGACATAGCCGGGACAGCTGACCCCAACTGACCAAAGGGATATTCCATGCCATATGACATCATGCTCAGTATATCAAGCTGACAGAAGAAGAAGGAAGGGGGGATGTTCGGAGTGATGGTGTTTGTCATCCCAAGTAACCGTTACTCTTGATGGAGCCCTGCTTTCCTGGAGGTGGCTGAACACCTGCCAGCCAATGGGAAGCAGTGAATTAATTCCTTATTTTGCTTTGCTTGGGTGCCTGGCTTTTGTTTTACTTATTAAATCCTCTTTATCTCAACCCATCGGTGTTTTCTCACTTTTACTCTTCTGATTCTCTCCCCCATTCCAACTGGGGGAGCAAGCAAGCGGCTGCCAGTGGGGGTTAAACCACGAGAGTGGGCCATGATGAAGAAGACTGGCTAAAAAAAATAAGATACAGGAGGTATAGTAGCATCGTTATACCCTTTTCCAGGAAACGATCTGACCAAAACAGCTTCTGGCACACCAGAAACATAAATTTGCCCACTTCGTCCCCACTGGGAGAGGCTGGAGTGTATAGACAGCTTCCCAAGTGTCAGCCCTTTTCCTCCTTCATGCTCATCTCAGGGAGCTCGGCTCTGAATTCTGAAATGCTTCAAATATATCCTTGTTGCTACAGAGAGTTTAGGATAGGAAAGACCCAGGAACAAAGCAGAAACAGGAATGTATGCGTTATCATGTTCCGTGAGTGGTAAATATCCTTCAATAAGTCATCCAATGAGGCAAAGGTTGAACTGCAGCAATCCACTCCAGCCAGCCAACGCTTTTTGCCTTCATGAAGCAGTGAACACAGAAGACGGTACTGGGAGAAACAAGGAGAGAAGAGGATCAGCTTAACCAGAAACAGGGATTTTTTCAACTGGCAGCTCACTATGGCAGTTTCTCAGTGGCTCCTCACTTCTGCACTCTTTCTGTTGCCCTTCGTAACAGAGGTTTCAGCACAGCAACAAGGTAAGCTCTTGCAGGAGGTCCGTGACCACAGAGGAATAACCCCAGTGGCAGCAGGTTGCACCATTATAGGTGGGAGATTTTTGCACTCCTACTTTGAGACAGCTTTGTTCAACGACCTTCTCTCCAACAATAAGCAGAGGGGTCTCAGGTCTCACCCAACTCTGTCCCAATGTGAATCCCTGGGCAATTTTGTGTGTCATTTGTGTGTTTTTTCAGGATGTTCTGTCAATAATAGCAGACCAAGCATTTACGAAAATAAGCCTCCTGGCTATGTGGTGACCACTATCCATCTGGAACCAGACTTCACTGTAATGATTAATCCTAATATCCTCGATGCCAGTTTTTTCACTATACAGGGGTCTCGCCTGCAGCTGAGCCAAAGTGTGGACTATGAGGTAAGCCTTTAGCTGACAGGCTACAAGATTGAGATGGATAATGCTGGGATGCAATGAGTTTCAACCTGGGGTCTTGGACTTCCAAGGATTCAGAACCTGTTTCTAAAGGATCTAGGAAATAACTTTGAAAAATAAACCTATTTCAGTTGGGTTTGAGTTCATTGCTTGGGAGGTCAGCCTTCCACAAGCAGAGTATAGGAAGGAGGGGGATGCATGGTATGCCTGCTGCCACCTTTCTTCAATGAGTCTGTATGAATTAAAGCAAGGGAAAGTGTTAAAATCAAAACTGTGACAACTGTAGAGTTCAGATCTCTCCAGGACTCATGTAAAACGATTCCTGTTTGCCTGTAGAAAACACAGCTCTGAGCAGTAAGGTGATCTTGTGTGAAACATAAAGGCAGTATAAAAGGTCAGTGTGTTTAGTTAGGTTGCTGCTAAATTATTTTACCTTCCTGCAGCACTCTGTACACAGCCACAAGCATCCTTAAGCTGCCTTTCCCCTACTGTAAAAACCCAAAGAACAGAAGAGTTGTTAACACCCTGCAGGTGACACTATAGTTGCTGCATGGTACATTTCTGTTTCACTCAATTTAAAAAGAAATCTCTGTTTAAATTCACCTAAAGTGCGAGAAAATGGCCGCTTAGCTCTGCTGACATGTTGCAGGAATCACAGGGAGAGAAGCCGGAAGATTGGTCTGCTTTCACTCCGTCATAAACAAGATCCCAGTGCTGATGGATGGCTGTATAGGAAAGAAAGGAAAAGTTAGATATGCCTGAAAACAAGATAAAGCCAGCAGCATTTCTGATTCAGCAATGCGTGTATTTGTCTCGTTTACTTTAGAAAGAGTTAGTATATTTTGGCTTGTTTCTACAATGGCTGGGGTTTTGTTTTTGCATACAGAAAAACACCTTGCTGATGGTGTCCCTGATTTGTCGGAACACTGCTGGGCAGGTGAGTGCTCTTCCAAACAGCCCTGTTACGAGGTACTGCAGGGCAACATGTACTTCCCTCTGCTCTTCCTAGTCCACAGACCAGGGTGAGATGTCCTTTTCAGACATATACACTCCTCTCACAGCCAAAGAGAGCACCCAAGGCTCTGTGAATGGGGAGGGGGTGGGAACAAACCCACAAGTGCCACACACACTATGGGCTGGCTGCAAGCCCCAGCCGCATCCAGTCCCCATCCAGCTGTGCTCCTTACACCATCCCCTCTGGTAACTCTGCAACTCAGGATCAGTCCCTAACGATCTTATTTTTGTCTTTAAATCTCTCACTTTACCCTTTCTGCAGAGCAATGATTTGGAAATTCATGTGACCATTCTCAACGAGAATGACAACAGCCCAGTCTTTATGCAAACAAATCTCACTAAAGTTGTTCCTGAGGTAAGCATTTTATCGAAGTGAAGAGGGCACTGAGTCACCCAGTGCTGTGGGACTAAGGGTTAGCAGGGAGAAGTCTTCAGCCCGTTTCACAGAAAGAATAACCACAACAATTTTGTTTCAGGATACAAAAGTGAATGCAACCATTTTAGCCCGTGAAAATTTAAGCGCTAGTGATGCTGACCTGGACATCATATTTTATGAACTCACAACAATAGTGCCGGTGAGCATCTTTGCTCTTTGGGGGGAAAAAGTGGTAGCTCTGGAGAAGGCTTTGTGTTTAATTCAGAAGAGCTCCAGCTAAGGCTAAGGTCACTGTATTGTGTTTAGTTCTCTGACAGCTTCTGTAAAAGGTATGTCTTTCGCAAAACCCAAGCATTGGTTTGGTTAGCAAAACAGAGCAATCAACATTGCAGGTATTGAATTCTTTTACTGCTCACACTTTTATTACACTGTACAGATTAAACTTTCATCTAGGATATTCTGAGCCATATGATCCAGGGAAGTCTTGTTGGGATGGTCTGTAAACATATCAGGAGAGACCTTTGTACCTCAGAGTTCAGAACTGCACTGAGTCAAATAAGGAAAGAAGGAGTTATTGTCCTGGTTGCCAACAGCATCCATGCAGAGTGGAGATCAGATGAGCTGCCCAAGATCACACAAAGAGTCTTTGGTAAAACAGAGTCTTTGGTAAAGCCAAAGGCAGACTCCACTTTCCCCAGGTCCCAGTTTAGTGCCTTATTTGCTCTTGAGGAGTTTGCTTGATAATTTGGGAAGTGAATTGTATGCACAGTTAAATTGATGCCAGCCTAGAGTGCAAGGGCTAGAAACCAAAAAAAAAAAAAAAAGAAAAAGTAAATTCAAGAGAAAAACAAAATGTATATTTACATTTTTAAAAAGCATTGTGGAGTGAGCAGGCAGTGTCTGACATTCTGCTTCCATTGCCTCCATAATCCCAGGGATTTTAAGGGTTGTGAACAGAAACCACAAATTTTTTAATTTCAGCTATGGGACCAAACTTTGCACTCACATTGGTGTAAATCCAGAGGGATTTAGAAGGAAAGGAATTATAGTCAAGACATAAGATTTAAGGAGAACCAAAGAAAGTGCAGAAGGTTATAGAGTAAAATGCAATCTATGTTATTTCAATTTAGCTTTACAGTTACTTCCGAAGTTCAGCTGTGCTAGGCTAAGGCAAGTGATCTTGCCAGCTCTCAGATGCTGAGACATCTTTGACCTGTTTTATGCATGGATGTGAGATTGCTTGGCTGTCATGGACCCAAAATCAAGGATTGTTGGCAACCTGTTGAGTGTAGGAAATAAATGAGGTAAAAGATTTCATCTGGTACCTGCTGAGCAGGTAGGCAGGGAAAGCCAGGGATCTTGGAGAAGAAAACTCACAGAAACATGAACAAACCTTTCTGACAAGCTAGGCAACTCCAGTGTGACACCAAAGATTAAATAGATCGGGCATTCTCACACTGCGCCCCCTCCTGGTCCCCAAGCTAAAAGGTCTAATGGGGATGACAAATACAGCAATGAGCAGTATTTTTAACATGTCTGTGATTGAGTCTGCTAGTAGGGTTTTTCCTTTTCCCTCCCCAGGGCACAGATGGTTATTTTGCCATAAAAGGAGTTAATAACCCAGAAATTTATTTACAAAAAGCATTGAACTATGAGAAATTTAATTCGACAACGTTGGTCTTGTATGCAAGGGTAAGTTCTTTAGGAGGAACAAAATGCCTTGTTTGCCCCACTCTCTCTTAACAGAAGGGTAAGTGTGAATGGGAGATCTCTGGGATGGCAGGAGGGAGGGTGCACACTGAGGATGGTGATTTTGGAGCAGCCTTCCACCCTCCATAATTACACAGTGACTGTATCCAGCCTTGCATTCAGTCCACCTTTGTCAGTTGAATGAGATAATTCCCTGCTTTAGCTAATCTCACATAAACTGCTAAACATTAGACAAAATGAAATTACAACAGCTAAAAGCCCTTGCGCCAAAGGCTTTTGCAGATCGGTTCTTCTTTTGGCAGTGAAACTTGCATCTCATGAGTATGCTTTGCCTTTGGGAACAGGACAGGCCTGTGGGCAGCACCGACGCAACCAACACAGCCAGCACAACTATAAACATATTTATTGAACAAGCTGACAACAGATCACCCAGGTTCCTACCCTGTAACTTCGTTAACATGGACAAAAGCATTTGCATCAGCAGCCCTTATATTGGGAGGGTCAATATCTCGGAGATGTCGGTAAGCAGGCATGATCAAACAGTAGTATCCGTGATGCTATTCTCAAACAATATGCAGATGCTATTCCCAGTGGGTAGCGCCTAATAATTTCCATGAGCTCGTGCTGATCTCCAGTCATAAATGCAGATGATGCAGCATGAGAGGGAGCCTTCATCATCCTGGAAAGTGGAGGTTCCCCGACCCCAAGCAGCACTGCTTCTCCTTGGTCCTGCAGCACATCACAGGAGAGGCCAGAGCTGGAACACCCTTTGCTCTAGACTGTCTCACCTCTGCCCTGTTACAGCCATCTCCCACTAATAAATGCCATTCTGCCCAGACAAAACCACCAGAGTCTGGCTGGGACCAGAGAATGCTGCAAATGCTAATTTGGTGCTCTAGTCGGGTATGTAATGCTTTGCCTTGTTATTGCAGACGGAACCACTCATCCTGGAGCCAGGGCCTATCTATGCTATTGATCCTGACTACTCTTTAAATGAAAAAATTGTGTACAGTATTGTTGATGGTGAGTAGATGTTATTACCTTCCACAAACTGCATTGCTCATATGTTCCCTACATTACCTGCCAAGAGGAGACACCCTCCGTGGCACTTGAGAGCTGAGAGCCTGGGGATTTGCCCCTCTGTTTCTGCCACAGAAACATAACTAGATCCACAAAACATTGTGCATTAAGTAGAAGAAACAGACTGTACTGAGAGAAAGAAAATGGGAATTACAGTCCCACAAACCGATCTCCATGAAATCTGTTTCAAAAGGGCTTTTTTTTGGAAGGAGGTGAGAAATGTTTTATCTCTAAGACTTTAGACTTGATTTTGCCAGTCTGGTCACACCACTTTCATTCAGGCTTTGAGCTGAAGCTTAAATTCCGACATCATCAGCTTAATTTTCATTCATTGCCAAGAATTATGTTTTTATTCCCCAGCACATTGCCAGTATCTAATCTGCCCTATTTTAGTCTTGATTTCAAAAAGATTACTTGAATACAGTCAACTGATTGCCCAGTCAATGACTGGGCTATCTATTTAATTCAAAGGCTTTTTTTGTGTGTGTGGTTTTTTTTTTTTAAACAATAGGGAGAGTTTGAATAGCTATCAAGGCAAAGGTAGATCATACTAGTCAGGTGCAGTGATCACTTGCTACCTATGCTAAATGGCACCACATCTATGAATATCCTCCTAATAATAAATACATTAAAGAACTTTAAATTCCACTGGCATTTTGGATGCAGTGTGGCCTCCCTACCCTACAGTCAACAGGGAACCCCAGACTGGGGGTTCCGTGTCTAAATAGACCCCATGGTATCTCAGGGTGAGGAAGAGAATTAAAATTTTTGCTTGTATTTTAACATATATCCAACATAGATGTTTTTATGATTCAAACAAAGATTAGAGATGTAGGAAGTTGATTTCTACTCCTACATCTATACAGGTAGGTTTCTGTGTTTAGGCTCCTTTTGTAGTCAGTAGAGAGAAATATGCATTTCCAGAGCAGAATGCAGCTCACATTGAGGCTAATGTTCACAGTAAGTTGGATAAATCATGCGCTGAGGTGCCATTTTCCCTTCACAATATAGGTAACAGGGTCACGTAGAGACATCTTCCCTTTAGATGCCTAGAGCTATTCAAGACAAATCCCCACCCAACTATTCTTTGTAGATTGGTTTCTTGCCTTTAAAAAAGGAGTAATCCTTCCCTTGTCTCTCCTGAAGTGCAGTTTGGGTTCAGTTAGGGTTTGAGTTCAGTTTAGGTTTAGGGAACTGGAGACTTTCAGTCCTCAAATTGCAGCAGAGCCTCTAGGCATTTAGCAGAATTTAAGATGGCTGTATCTGGGCCTAAGCACTGGACATGCAAAGCTTTGCTGTCCTGCCTCATCTAGTTGGGTTCACACACATCATCTTGATGCTTTTTGTCTGTTGAGTCCCTCTGAATCCCTGGCCGGCAGTCCCAGCCCTTGGAGCAACCAAGCAGGCAAGGAAACCAGCATTATGCCCTGGGGATATTGTCACTAAGATGTGAAAAAAAATGAGTCAGTAAGCTCCAGGTCACTTTATGAAGGTATCTGATGATTGAATAGTTTTTCCATTTTCTTTAGGGGATGCAGACCAAGTATTCTCAGTGGATGCAGACACAGGAAATCTAACTATGAACAAACCAGCAACTTCCCTAGACTCATACCTATTGCAAGTCATGGTAAGTCTGATGACATTGTAGACAACAACCCAGCATAGCTGGCTTTCTAGGAAACAGCAGTCTTGATGTGACAGGAGTCAATTACATTTATAATTACAGCTAACTTGGTTACACCATTTCTTTTGGAAGGGCCTAGTATTTAACCAGTCTCTTATACCAGCTTCATGCAAAGCTCTTGCAGAAGAGAGCATTTCCCTTATGTGTGGATTGCAACATCAAAGCGAGTTAACTGAAAGGGGACATCCTGCTGAGTTGAAAGTATGGAGGAGCATAACTGGAAGGCTTTCTTTAGGCATGACTGGAGCTTGTGTTACAGTACTTAACTCAACCCTAGAGACAAGCTCCTCTTTGCCTACAGCTCAAGACGAAAGCAATGAGTTAAAAAGCACTCCCTGCACATACATACCCAGGAAGATGTAGACTCTCAGGCAGTAACTGAACTGACCCCAAGCCCTCACGAAGATGAGCATATTCTACCTGCCGGTGCTGGAATCTCACTGCTTTGTACTGAAGCATGGCAATTTGTCCAGACGTGGCCCTTACAGAGGGTCATATCTAGACTTTGGGGCTAGACTAAGACTGTGGAGGGCCAGCAGCAGAAGCAAGATAAAACACCGGGACTCCAAACCATAAGGCCACTTGAGACTTGTACCTGGCACAAAGCTCACTGAAAATGATGGAAAGAACCCCATAGGTTGCAATGGACTTCAGATCAAGCCTATCCTTTTACATCTCATCAGTAATAGGAAAAGGCTAACATGTCTGTCTCTCTCTTTCTTTCTCTCCAGGCAACCCAGGCCAACAACATACAGAAATACTCCATAGCCAGTGTACAGATTAAGGTCATCAAGAAAAGTAATTATGCACCATACTTTGAGAGCAAGCGCTACAATGGGAGTGTATTTGCTGGTCTGGATGCAGGAAGCTTTGTCTTCCAAGCTGGTGGTGATCATTCAACACCCCTGAGGATAACAGCAATGGATGATGATTTCCCTAATGTAAGAAACTGAAAATGCACTGCATTCTTTCTCACTGCTTAAGGCTTAAAGCAGGATCAGAAACCATGAGGAAGGGGAGGTGGGAAGAGGCAAACACATGTTTTCTTCTGGTGTTCTGTATTATATTTCCCTGAAAATTCCACTTAGACCAGAACTGCTTATGGTATGATATAATGTGGAAAAGCTGTTGGACTCCTTTCTTCCAAAAGACAGTCCCACCCAGATCTATGTAGGTGAGCTGATCTACTTCAAAACACCACGCTGAGTAAAGTGCAGGTTTAGCAAATACTGTGAATGGGGGCAGATCTGAATTAGGGCTGGGTGAAGTGTTTCCTTGATGAATTCAGGGTGGCAGGATCCCAGGCAGAGGTGGCCTCTCTCTGCCACATCAAAGAGAGCTATTTGTGGACTGGCCTGGGAAGAGGAGCCAGTCCAAAGACAAGAGATTAGCACGGACCTGCAGTCCTGGACTGGAAATTGTTAACCTCCCTGTAAGGGCTCATTTTGAGAGAGCCAATCCTGAACGGTGTACTGGGAGAAGGAAAGCCATTCCCATCCTGCCCTATTAAATAAATTAAAAAGTGCTAGTTTTACTGATGCCAAAGCTTCCATAACAAGATTAGGTATCTGGTAGAGGAGTAACAGCCTAGAGACAAAGGAAAAACTTGGAGAGACCTCAGCAGAGGGATTATTCTCCATGTTCATCCCCCTTTGGCACTGTATTAAAGGCAAAACTGATCAAATTTACAAGGTCCCTTGCATAGATGTGTTTTGCTTGGGCAAATACTAAAGATACCAACACCAGCTGGGTAAGACTTGGGCTTTTTCTGGAGGCAATGCTTTTAGAATACATTCTTGAATTAACAACGTTAACACACTTGAGTTCAACTCTTCTCACCTCCTTAGTCCAGATTTATTGCACTATGCACCTGCTCATACTTCAGGTGTATTTGACAAACCCTGCCAATGGGTTGTTATGAAGATGCATGCAAAGCACAAACAGTGTAGTTTAATCATACACTCTTCTGGTTTTTCAGAAATTCAATCCAAACACTGAGTACTACATAAAAAACAGCACCGACTTCATTGCAACCAGAGATGGACTCATCTTGACAAACGTGATGCTGCAGTCACCACAAACTGTAATCATTGAGGTAGGACAATTTTCTTCATTATCTTGCCAGGGTCATGTAAGGAAGGGGTAGTTTCTAGTAGAGAAGCATCAAGGGTAGAATTCCATTAGGTAAGGGATATAATGAAAGGACAGTCCTTGCCCCAACCATTTGCATCATAAATGTATATGGATGGAGGGAGATGAAGTGATAGCAAATTTACTCTGTGTGATACAGGCTATATCTGGGGCTAGCTGTAAAACTGTTTCTCCAATCCTGTGGAAAACATCATTGGAGACAAGCAAAAAGTCATATGGGGAGATTTTAGGAGCCCCCCTCCCACACTCTGATTCTGATTAACAAAAAAGGAGGGTGAGCAAGTGGGTAGGAGGTTGTGTAGGTAGGGATAGTGTATGATTGCTGGCATATATCCCAGCTCTAAAGGCTACAGCCCCAAACTTGGAAATCCTTTGGTAAATCCAGTAGGTTTTTTTGCTCAGGTCAAAGGAAGCAGTTAATAACTTTAGACTTTCTAAGAAGCTAGATTTTTTTTTTGTCCATCTTTGTCCATCTGCCTGCCAGTGACAACTGGCTCCCTAAGACTTGCCTAGCACAATGTCATGCCCTATGGAACTATCTGAACCAGCTTGACTATAGCATTGTTTTAGCTACACAAGCAGGGCAGAGAGAGGTGCCAACACGGGCTGCTGCCTGCCCCACACTACCTCATTATCTGCATACTGCACTGTGCTGCAAAGCTGTACACAAACAATGCACCTGGTTCTGGCCCAGGACAGGGACTCTGCAGACTTCTTCCTCTGTGACTAGACTGTCCAGCTACAATGCAATGATACCGTGAGGATGTGGTGAGGATATGGACAAGGTACTCTGTCTACAAAGGGCCCACCACATAGCTTGAAAGTGAGTTGGAGATCTAGGAAGTCCCTAAGCTATCTCTTTCCCATGTTCACATAGGCTATTGGAAAAGATATGGAGAGCCTGCAGGAGGCGAGCACTATAATCAGGGTGGATGTAATCCTTCCCACAGGTAGGCTGGGCGTCTCTTTGTTTTCTGCTTTGGGGAGTCTTTTCGACTTCTGTGGGCAAACTGGCAATGACAGGTCACCCACTGAAGTCTGGGGACCTGGGCTGAGGCAAACCCCATACCTACAGGAGGTTTTACAGTGGCTATAAGAGAGAAAACACTCAAATTACATTCTTATGATGTGGTCACAACATGCCTCAAACAGCCTCCTGAGAGTATCCATAAATGGATAAAAATGTATATGGATGGAGGGAGATGAAGTGATAGCAAATTTACTTTGTGTGATACCGGCTATATCTGAGGCTAGCTGTAAAATTGGTTTCTACATGATGATGCGTGACTGAAGTTCCCAGTTGGGCTCTTCCATTACTTCACCCTCTGAACTACAACCATCGTGGGGATTTCTGAAGGAAAAAAAGAAAAAAAAAGAAAAAAAAAAAAGTGGGCTCCTGGGCCTAAATTTGGATTCCGTAAAGGTAGTTCCACTTCACAGCTAAAAACATGGGCTGTGTAAAAACTACCTAAACCCAATTTAAGGGCACAGTCCAGCTCAGCAGAAAACTGATTCAGGTGTCAGTACACAGAGCTGCAAACACCCAAATATATGTACCAACACTTCAAAGCAACTTTTATTAAATGTTGCCCTTGTTATTTAAACCTCACAAAATAATGATCCTCATTACTATGCAAAAAAGTAGACTGAAATTACACTGAATGAATCAGAACCTATGGGAGGAATTGTGCTTTATTCTATACTATAGCGAGCACCCAGGAATGGCCTAAACAGAGCTGAAATTGCCATTTGCCTGGCCAATCTGTAGGGTATTTAACCGTCAACTCTAAGAGGTGGTGTTAAGGAATGTGCATGCAACAGGTTGGAGAGCGCTTTACTGAGCGTTCCAATATCCAGGGAGCAACTAGAGTCACCTTTAATATACTCTCCTTCTGGGAAGTTGTAACTGTACATTGGCCTCTGGTTTCTGAGACACCAGTGCCGGAGCCACCTCACATGGATCTCAAGGTGAGTCATTCCACCAAGCCAAGCTAGCTTTTACAGAGGAACTGTGTGCTGCACCACACAGAAGGAGCTAAGGGTGGTGGAGTTTCACATCAGCCCTGTGGGCTGTGGCTCCCTAGGAGACATGATTAAGAATCAACAATACACTGACGTCCTAAACCCTCACCAATGTATTAATGATAAACTGAGGATGCAATCAAATGCGGAGGGAATAATCAAAGTTCATTGTCATAAACAGATCTGCAGGAGAACAAAACTGTGTTTCATTAATCATTAAACTTTAAAGAGACTAATTTACACTACAAAATGAAGTTGGAAAACTTAAAAATAAAGAATCCCCCAAACAACAAGAAGCAAAGCTGCTTAACCTTGAGAAATTTACTGTCTTTCCACTGTAATGTTGATCTCTATACAAATATGCTTACTCTGACCAGTGGTGAAAGCGTAAGCCGCTCCTGAGAAGGCTGGTGTATATTGCTACAGCTACAGAAGGGCAGGAAAGCATTTCCTGTCCTAGGGACCTTTTAATGTTTTTCATATTTCCTATTATACTTTTTTATTTCTTATTTTAATGTGCTCATTGGTATCAGAGGTGATGTCCCAGCTTTGAATTTTCACACGCATATGTACAAATATACCTCATTTTTGCATGCTGGTAGAAATGGGTGAAGTGTGAAAGTAAAAGCTTTACTCCACCATGTAACATCTGATTGCCTCATACATTCACGTATATATTGACTTAGTTAAATCATGGGGTAAAAGTCATTGTCCTGTAAACGGATGCTATTTCCACTTCATGTAACTTATTGAAAGTTGTAATATTCTGTGAGTGGTCACCTTAAAAAAAGCCCTCTGCTTTTAGGACAGCAAATGAATGGCTTTCTGTGACCTTAAATATATCACTGTCACATTCTGCAGCACACGATGCTTCTTTGCCCTTCAAAAATTGCTTGAGGCTTCTCCCACAATGAAGTGTCATGTTAAAAGAGCTAGCTGCCATTTTTAGGCTTCGTAACACTGGTTTGTTTTTCTTGTAGTTGTAACCCCCTCTGATAAGATATACACTGCTCAGGATATGGCTATCTTAGGTGGTACATTAGCAGCACTGCTATTAATTGCCTTAGTCTTCCTTGGAGTGATGATATATAAACAGTATGGAAAACCAGTCAAATACCTAATAAGGAAAAAGGTAAGTGCCTTTTTTATACCTGAGTTTCTTAAGAGTTAGAAAGTGGGATCTGAGGAGGTTTTAAAGTATATATGGGCTGTCCAAATACTACATATGTTTGGGTGAAGGTGATGAATCACTCCTGAGACAAAGTTTGCAAAGGTAGCATCATTTTGGTGGTGTTTGCTGCTGTTCTTTTCTGCCCCCTGAGGCTGGAGCTAGATGGTAGATGATGAGCAGCCATAGCAAGGAGGAGACTACAGCTCCATGGAGCACAAAGTCTGGGATGAACATGACACATATCACAGGTAGTCTCTGAAAAACATGTGTCTGTAGTATAAACCACTGTTCATCCCCTCTATATAGTCAATGGAGACAAAGGTCTCCTCATATCCTATGCTAAAGCCTGGGCTTAGACAGTTTTCTGCACCTGAGCTATTAGCCTTTTGCTCTCTCAAGACCCTGGCAGTGTAGTTACTTTGAAGTTTAGGATGTAATTCATCATTCAGGTTGGTCTCCGCCTTAGGATGGGACTGTCAGGAGCCTAGACTCCACTGACTACAACATGAGTCCAGAGCACATAGCTCAGGTGAATAACAACAGTCTTTCACCCTGAGTGAGGTAAATCCCACTCCAGAGCAATACCTCAAATGGATGGGTACAAATCAGTATACATTGCCGGTGCTCAGCGCTCCTGGAAAGCATGCCCATGGTTATCTGAAAACATCCAGAAAGGGAGTCAATAGAAAATAGCTGTTCTAAGAAGCCATATCCTTCCCAGGCTTCAAATAGGTCTAACTGCAAAACAAGCTGAAGGTTTCCTGAGCAGGAGCTCAGTCACTTCAGCCACCCCTTTCCCCTCCCGCTGCCGTTTCTTTTCCTTTCACTGCAATGACAGAGTGTCTCTCCCCCTGTAGTTCTCCAAGGAAGTCTCTGGAGGTTGCCAGAACCAATCTTACAATCAAGATGAACACGAAAATCTGAGCACCCAACAGCACAAGACATCAGAAAATGGCAGTGTCCAGTCGCTGACACATGTGCTAGAGCAGCCAGCGCTTTCCTTGCCCTCTTCCAATACAGAAGAAATTGATAGCCTCCCAAAGGCTTCTATAGCTTCCACCATCATCTTTGACCAGGAAGAGAAAGAGGAAGAAATGGAAGAAGAGACTGAGCATGAGAAAGAAGTGAAGTCTATCCTCAAGACAGACAGGAACATGGCAGATGATGGCTACAAAGCTGTGTGGTTCAAGACTGATGTGGATCCAGATGCTGGAGAGAGGGTTGAAGTGATTGAGGACAATGTAGCAGACGACGATGATGACAGTGACCAAGATCTGCAGAAGAATGAAGATGAGGAGGAGGATGAGGAAGACGAATAAGAGAAAGAGGAGGAGGACGAGGACGAGGAAGATTATGACAAGGACAATCACCACAGAGGGCTGGGAATGTCCTTTGCCTCAGAGAGCTCATCACTCCCAGCTGCAGAAGTGGTAGTTGACTTTTCTCATGTAAATGCAGTGACAGAAGATGACAGTGACATATAACAGAAATAGGCCTGCATCTACCCCCCAAAAAATGAGGGAATTTCAGCTGCTTTGCTGACGTGAAGCCCATCTTTCTGCTTAGGGGGAAAACTGGATTGCAGGAGGATGAGGCTGCCTGTCCTGCTTGTCTAAATACAGAGATTACAGATAATTCAAACTTTTAGTGTGACCTTGAAATATCACTTAGGATTTTGAGTGGGGGGAACACATGTCCCATCTCTCCACTTTCCTGCCTGTTCCCCCTGGGGTCCCTCACATCACATTTCCCAAAGCAGCTGCAGGTACAGCAGAGATGTAGCTGAACTGACTTTGAAGCAGTTAGCCTAGCTCACCGTAGCAATCTAGTTACAAAACCCAGTGTTCATCTCCTTGTGGTGGGTAAATAAGCCAGCACTGACTGCTTGGCTATTCCCTTTAGGGTGTTACAGTTTGATGCCAGCTGCAGGCATAAACCAGTGCGAGTCATCCTGACCCTGCAGTTGCTCATATGACTATCCAGGAGCTCACTTCAGAGCTTGGCTCTGCTCTCCACTGTGCCAGACTGTGTTCCCAGCACAAGCAGCTGGCAAGTGCCACTACGGTCCTCGTCCTGCCAGCAGCCAGGAGTTTACGTGCTCAGGAGCTGCTGTTTCCTCTGTCACTGGTAAGCAAAGACTGACCATATGTTCCTTACTGAAAGACTTTGTCATCAATTTTTCTATGTCATAAAACCACGAATTGTGCAGTACTTTTTTAGCTGTCTGTCTCCTATCTGTCAGGGGGGAAAAAAAGCTTCTGCCAGGACCTGTCTACAAAATGCCTGGGGGATTTCCAGCTCTCTGGGCTTTTGGCAACAATGGGTATCATTCCAGGCGTCCTGGATGTGGGGTCAGCATGTTGCTTCCCATTGTTTCCCCTGTCCAACAGGGCTCAAGGTGTCCCTTTTATCATTGCTGCTGAAGGTGAAGGTCAGCATTGCCTCCAAGTGCCAGATAGCACCTCCATTTCTCTGCTCCTCTCATCTTAGATGCTAACCCCTTTGCATACCATCTTTCTCCACTCATGAGGAATCCAGCACTGTTTGCTGGTAAAATACTATCTTTCAAGCTTCACCTAGAGCCAAGCAGCAGCCTGAGAGAGGAGGTGGTTCCTCAGCTCTGCTGTGCTTGGCTTGAGTCCAGGCTTGAGGTTGAAAGCCTGTTGACCTCTGGATTGAGTTCACAGGGTGACTGCACCACAGCGTGTTGGACCTTTCCCCCCTCAATCCTCCCTCGTCTTTCAGCAATATTGTCTTCAATTATGGTCCTGTCATAAAGCCGTGATTCAGCAAAATGAGCACATCATTTCCAGGTAGTATGGGGAGTAAAGTGTTTGATGCTTTGGTCTAGATTTACACCTCCCATCAACCAATCTCTTTGCCCAGCTGGCAACCAAAAGCTGTGGTGATTTCCACTGGCTGAGAATATGGCTGCATGCAATTGCACCTTTTCATCTATCCACACAAAATTTGTGCTGCTCCTGGTTTTCTCATTTTGGGGCTAGCTACAGAGCAGACATGGGATGGCGAGTGCTTAACTTCCAGTAAAAAGCTCAGGAGTGTTCAAGACAGGGATGCAGCAGAAGGACCTTGGGTCACTAATGTTTATCTCACATTCTCAGCTTAGCACAACGGCACAGGATTGCAACAAGATACGTCTCAT